TTGAGCAAATCAGTACAGTTACCATTAACATTTTATTCCTCTTCAAATTCATAAAATTCGTCGTCTACCTTATCAAAACTCTGATACTCATTTTCAATATAACTATCATCGTCATTAAATAATGCGTCATCTTCCGTTCCATTGAGAGCATTGCTAATGCCACACTTTTTCAAGATTTCAAAACAATTTCCGATCTGATATTTTCCTAAGCTTGATTCACCCATTCGCAGACTTGTGCAATGCTGGGTCTTTTTATTCTTCCTGTAAATGTAAGGTCATGATCAGGCATTGCTATCCACATGTTCCATTGCTCCTTCGTGTTTAAGTCTAAGCTAATAGGAGTCTCCAGGTAGCTAATTTCGGCCGACTATCTCGAATTTTAAACCCACATATGGCATATAAGACGCAAGGGAATTTTAAAAGATATTTTTATTAAAACAAAATGTGCCTTATATGCCGTCAAATACGGTAATCTTTCTTTTTTAGACTTCTGTGCATTAAAAATATGGCCGTTCGCTGTTGGGGGAAACTCGTGGAAAATCCAACTGTATTGATCTCTTTATATATTTTTCCTATCGCTTTGGAAGATGCCATGGACATTTGAAAATTTCAAGATGTCTCAATTCTTTGTAATGTGAACTATATAACAGCTTTGACCTCCACAAGCGAACACGCCAGAAAATATAAACATTCTTTTTCAAGGAAGCTAATTATTTACATTTCTTTTTATTTTCTCACCTGTTTTCTAAGTTTAGAGCCATTAAGAAAAGAGCAGTCCAGCTGTCGAGCTTCTAACAGTATTTAAGTTTCCATCGTTCTTAAACAAAGCTATTAGTTTTTCTTTAATTATGGCAAACGTTTGAGTGCATTCGTTTAACTCGGGTTAGATGCAGTAAGATATCAATCGGAAGCTTCGCTACTTTAATGAAATGAGTGTGTTTCGTGTACTTCTAACATAGAAGAGCTCCAATAAAACCTATTTGAAGAGGTAGAAGGCTCGGTCAGTATATGTACATGGGTATATATTATCAGTCCTCACGCAGATACAATTTGGAGTTTCATATTAAAATTAGAAGCGTTTTTATATCGACGAACCCCGAGTGATTGTTTAATGTGAAATAGAAGAGTATAGAAAACTTATAAAGTTGATTTAAACGGTGGCTTAGCATATAAAAATGTCGAGGGCACAAAGTTGAGGAGTTTTGTCAGCGACAGAATCTTTGAAAGAATAGCAAAATAAATATAGACTGATTTCAGAGATTTTAAATCTTATTATTATAGTGCATTTAGACTGGTGCTTGAAATTTCTCTTTTGGTACGATGCAATGATCAAGTGTTGTCTGCCTTTTTTGTCTTCCTTTGCAGTCAGAATCTTTTTTATTTTTGGTTTTTTTTTATTATTTTTATTTGTTTATTTTAATATTTTTTTAAAATTTTTGTTTTATCTTTTCTCTTTTTGTTTTTGTTTGTATTTATTTATTTTTTATTTTTATTTTTGTTTCATCTTTTATCTTTCTATCTTTCTTGAATTGCAATCGGCCCTTTCTTGCTACTACTTCTTTTTTTTTTTTTTTTTTCGTTTTTAACTTTTTATTATTTTCTCTCTGTCCGATTTAATTGTTTAAGTCTCTGATTCACCAGACCTTTTTTTTGTTGCCGATTTTGTTTCTCTCCCGTCTTCTTTCATTTTAATTCTTTTTCTCTTTCTTTTTCCCTTTACCTATATCTTCCTTATGCCCTTTATTTTACTTCTCTCTCTCTCTCTCTCTCTCTCTCTCTCTCTCTCTCTCTCTCTCTCTCTCTCACTTTGAACTCTATCCTCTCTTTTACCTAATATTTACTTGTTATCGTATAAGGATAAATGGGGAAGAAAGAGAAATAAAAAGATTGTGTTGCATCGAAATAGACACGAACTGCCTGTTTGCCATGACAATCAGCATTAAAAATCGTACCGTTTTTTGTGTGTGTAGGGGGGGAGGTGCGATCAAATAACTACCACTGGTATCGATAACGCATATACAACTATCATGCTCACAAAGCCTCCCCAGAGCAAATCGACCTGTCCACACGTTTTACATTTATATAAACTCGTGTGTATGCAAACAGATTCTCGTGTCTCGCTTTAGACAAGAAGTCGACAAATATATTTTTGATATTTTACTATCACGACTACTTCCAGGGATGCACTTTTACATGTATATAAACTCGTGTGTATGCAAACAGATTCAAGTGAGTCGCTTTAGAAAAGCAGTTGGCAAATACATTTTTGACATTACGGCTATTTTCAAGGATGACGTTACCCCAAAACCTAACACATACTAATATAGTCCTATAACACTTGTAATTAACGTAACTTTGAAAATAGGAATAAAAACTTATATCTCTGAGTTTTATTATTACAACACACTCTCCGCTATTGGACAGTTAGCAAGACGAGCAAATCACGCTAGACAGCAATTGTTAAAAGATAACGTGAAGAATTTTAAAAATTAACTTGATTTAATCCGATTGCACTTCTTTTTCTATTTAACCTGATAGCAGACACGGAAAGAAAACTACAAAAACTCCCACAGAAGTTAGTGAAATAAAGCGAGAAGAAAGGATTAAATATCAACTGCAGGAAAACAGAATGCATGATTATCAGCAAAAACATGAACCCAAAGTGCAAATTACAAATTGGAGACACAGAAATCATACAAGTACATAAATATAAATAACTGATAAGTGTTTTAATAGAGGACGGCAAGTGTAGCCATGAAATCTGAAGGAAGATGCATTTCAAAAACTAAGCAGAGTATTAAGAGACAGAAATTTTTTTTTTAAATCAAAGAAAACTGTACTGAACTATTATGTAATATCAGTCCTCCTATATGTCAGTGAATACAGGACAACCTCCTCAAAGATGGAGAAGGGATTTAAAACAACAGGAATGTGTTTCTACAGAAGGACGCTGAAGATATCATGGACCGAAGATGTGAGCAAGTTTTAGAGAAAATAGAAACAAAAAGGAGGTTTATACGTAACACGAGGAAGAGACAGTGGAAATTTCTAGGACACAACATGAGAAAAGAGGGTTTGTTCTATTTTCAAACTGTTTGCACGGCAGACGCGCAATTTAGACTTTATTTGTTAAGGTAAATTCCGTTTCATCTTTTCATTCCCCATCCCCATCCCCCCAACTTTCGATTTTATTCCACCCAGGATAATTTACCGATTCCTGCTGCAGACGGTCAACAGACTAATCTTAGATTTTGTATTAGGTTCGATCTGTAGTATGATTCCGGTGGAATCGATATTGATGCAATTCATGCCAAACTATCAAAAGAATCTGCTGGGTACGCCTTTGTCCTTGGGACATTACCGACCGCCGAATGAAGGTGCACGCAATACCACACTCGCGTCCGTTTTACAGTAATGAGATAAAGATTTATGATACACGCGGTTATATAAACAACCACACCCCCAGAGGAAACTGGGCGAGGGCAATCTCTTATAGATCGAGAGGTGACAATGTAGGGTGTACGTTTTGAAACAGAATGAGACCAAAGTCGCTCACATACACATACGCACACGCACGCACATACACATACGCACACACACACACTGGTAAATAGAAACAAAGTCAGGCGTTGAATAAAATGTAGTATTAAATGGTGAGAGTTTCAAGTCTAGGGTTATCATTTTGCCACAAAACAACCGTCATTTAAGGAACCTCACTATTGTAGCCTTAAGCCAGACTAAATAAAGCTCCTTAAATATATCTACATTGAGATTAATCTTTTCAGTCATTCTTTATTTTTTCTCTTTCAATATATATATATATATATATATATATATATATATATATATATATTTTTTTTTTCATTATATTTATATATATATATATATATATGAAAAAAAAAATATATATATATATATATATATATATATATATATATATATATATTTTTTTTATATATATATATATATATATATATATATATATATATATATTTTTTTTCATATATATATATATATATATATATATATATATAAAAAAAAATATATATATATATATATATATATATATATATATATATATATATATATATATATATATATATATATATATATATATATGAAAAATATATATATATATATATATTTTTTTCATATATATATATATATATATATATATATATATATATATATATATATATATATATATATATATATATATATATATATATATATATATATATATATATATATATATATATATATATATATATATGAAAAAAAAATGTGTTTGTGTGCATATTCTTACTTCATATCAACATTATATGGATAGATTTTCCTGTCGAGAACGTAGGATGAGGGCTCAGTAAATTCTAAGTTTTTAGTGAGCAATGTGCACAAATAAATTATTTCAAATGTTCAATTGCCTCCACCCTTCAAAGCGCATTCTATACATCATAACCTGCACTGGTGCACTATGCTACAATCGCAGGCTCTTTGGATATTTAACCTATATCTGTGGGTAGAAGAGATGGATTCAAATCTTTCCTATATGCTCGTAAATGAATGTTACAAACTCAACTGGAATTCGAACTCTGCTCTCCGAGTTATTATTCCGAGCCGTTATCCATTACACCACCGGCACATCCAAGTTTACAAAGATTCCCAACCGGTCACCTATATAGTGATCAGGTCATCTACTGACCAGGCTCAACTTTGGTTAAATGCGGTGGTCAGACGAGAACCGATGTTTCAACGTGATATGGCAGTAATCTACATTATATATATATACACATTTATATGCATTTGCACCCTACTCATATATCCACGCCCAATGTCATATATAGGTAGGTATGGTTAACTTTTTCTTTCCTCTATTATAAAATGCATAAATGTTTAAAACCAAGTAATTTGTATGCTTTTTATTACTGATTTACCAAATGTTGGAAGACTTTCGTCGCTATATTGAGGCCATTCACTTGCAAATCAATCGCACAGTCGTATCATGTGACCTTTTTTCCCGTTGAAAATGGCGCGACGTCTGCTACCCTGATCATATGCCATGGGAATGTTCTAGCATCCGGGTTGCACGAGTTGTTAGTTGACTTATACATAATTGGCTAGTGAATATTTATAGGAGAATTTTGTCACTTTTTTTCGATGAGCTGCTCGCCAGCATGTCTACTGAAGCTGTTTAGGGCTGAATAGACAAACGGTATATATATATATATATATATATATATATAGAGAGAGAGAGAGAGAGAGAAAAAAAAAATAGTAACATACATACATACATACATAGAAAAAGAGTAACAGAGATAGATAGAGATAGAGAGAGATAAAGAAAGAATGAAAGAAAGAAAGAAAAAGAGTAACATAGATAGATAGATAGATAGATAGAAAAAGAGTAGCATAGATAGATAGAAAGAAAGAAAGAAAGAAAGAAAAAGTAGCACAGATAGATAGATAGATAGAAAGAAAGAAAGAAAGAAAAAGTAGCACAGATAGATAGATAGATAGATAGATAGATAGATAGATAGAAAGAAAGAAAGAAAGAAAGAAAGAAAAAGTAGCACAGATAGATAGATAGATAGATAGATAGATAGATAGATAGATAGATAGATAGAAAGAACGAAAGAAAGAAAGAATGAAAGAAAGAAAAAAAGAGTAGCATAGATAGATAAAAAGAAAGAAAGAAAGAAAGAAAAGAGTAGCATAGATAGATAGATAGATAGATAGATAGATAGATAGATAGATAGATAGATAGATAGAAATGGACAGACTTACAGAGATTATAAATATACCAAAAAAATATAAAAGCAATAATCTTTCAGTAATTAGTAATTTTTTTTTTTTTTTGGTAAATAAGTTCTATTGCAAATCTTGTTCCGATGACTGATTATTTTATTTAACTTTATTTTTTGTTTTGTTTTCTTTATATACCAAGTTCCCTCAGGGCGTAGGCAATCATGGCTCTCCACAAATTCCTATCCTTTCTCGTTCTTAATATTTTTTCTTTTTCTTATTTCTCCTAAACCCTGTTTCACCATCCATTTACTGATGCTCACTAAATATATTATGCATTGTTTTCCTCTGTCCCTCTTGCCTTCAATCTGTCCTCTGAGTATCAGATTTCCCAAACCCTCTTTTCTCATTGTGTGTCCTTGAAATTTCAATTGTCTCTTCCTCGTGTTACGTCTCAGCTTCCTTTTTGTTTCTATTTTCTCTAAAACTTGCTCACATGTTCGATCCATGATATCTTCAGCGTCCTTCTGTAGAACCACATTTCTGTTGTTTTAAATCCCTTCTTCATCTTTGAGGAGATTGTCCAGTATTCACTGACATATAGGAGGACTGATATTACATAATAGTTCAGTACTGTTTTCTTTGATTTAAAAAAAAAAAGTCTGTCTCTTAATACTCTGCTTAGTTTTTGGAATGCATCTTCCTTCAGATTTCATGGCTGCACTTGCCGTGCTCTATTAAAACACTTACCAGATATTTATATTTCTGTACTTGTTTGATTTTGGTATCTCCCATTTGTAATTTGCACTTTGGCCTCATCCTTTTGCTAACAACCATGCATTCTGTGTTCCTGCAGTTGATATTTAATTCTTTCTTTTCGCTTTATTTCACTGCCTTCTATGGGAGTTTTCGATGTTTTCTTTCCGTGTCTGCTATCAACACTGTGTTATCTGAATATCTTATGCTGTAAAGATTGTAGCCGCCAATAATGAATCCTTGTAGGACTTCTAATTCTCTCAAATTCGCCTCGCTGTATAGCTTGAATAAGTCCTATGAAAAGACACACCCTTTTTTTTTTACACCCCCTTTCTATTTTATATATCTGCAGAGCATATTTTCTATCCGCATGCAGGCGGATTACTACCAGTATAGGTTCTTGATTATTCGAATATCCTTCCCTAATATGTCAATTTGCTGATCATTTCTTCAACCTTCGACCTGAAATTTCAGTTCGTATAGAAAGAGGTGATAGGTTGTACAAACCAGAAGATGGCGGTCAGAAATAAAAACTGGTGGCAAATATACTGATCACAACAATTCGAAAATTCCTAGTAGCAACAGACATGAAGAAAGGATTTAGTCAAATATTACGAAGACATTTTTGAAGAATTCAGACTAAGATTATATTACTTGTGCTACTATTAAAAACTACAAGTTGTTGACTTTTTAAATATTTTTTAGGAAAGTATGCTTCACCAAATCTAAAGTAATACATCGAACTTGTTAGCTTTTTGTTACTTTTTTTTTGTTATCTGTAGGCCATTTACTTTCGTTATCCATTATTTGTAATTACGCATGCGTGAACTGATCAATGAATCGCAGTAATTCAAATTAACTCTTCGCAATTGTTTGTGGGTATATAGTGAGTGAAGACAAAGTTCAAAATTTATTGTTTCGGTTAGCTATGAAGATATGAAACTTGCCTAGGACATGAAGAGGAAGCTGTTTCTTTTTTCGAAAAATGTGTTTTCCAAGAGAGAATTATTATGAAAAGTTGAACATGAAGTTATATTTCAAAAGATCCAATCAACGATCTGGTCTTGTTCCTTGAGATTTCTCTGTGAGAGCGTTCAAAAAACGAAAAACGACTTTGTTGAAGAAGAACAGGCGGCCATTCGTTACTTAAAATATTCATTCTTTTTTACGAAATATTCACCTTAGAGCCAATCAATGTAGTGAGTTAGTTATTGAAGAAGCATCTTCACGAGAGTCTGTTCCACAAAGTAGCGGTTCTCGGAAGAAGCCGTCTGGGTGGAAATTCCTTCTTACCAAGGAAATGCGTAGGGAATAAGGATGATTCGGTTCTGCGTCTGAGGGTCTAAGATGTAAAAGTATGAACTAGTGGAACAAAAGAATTTAGCTCCCCAGAACATTTACCAGGGAAACAATAGTAGTATAATAATAGGCTTTCGTCTATGGGAAAATAATACATCACCTAAAAAGGTATGTAAACGCTTTTGAGATGTGTCAGGGCATGGAAGTGAAGATTGCGCTGCTCCCTCTCAGACACGACATTATTGGTCGGATCTCAGTTTTATAACGATAAAGTATTGCGGAAGTCGGGTACTTTCTGAAGCATCACAAAGAACTGACCATTTTTCTATCAGGGTTGAGTGAGCCCTACCTTGTCAGGCTCTCTTGCTCAATACAAACCACTGCAGCTTTGACCGCAATACACGGACTGCCTCTCGACTCTGATGGATTAGGAGGTAACTTCTTAATGTGTCTGATCCCATAAAAGAAAATATTGCCAACAACTCAATATATATATATATATATATATATATAACTTTTAAGTTAATATAAAAATTCAGCCCCGGGTTGCGACAGTTTGTTTCATGCGTCCATGCAATCTTCATGCCTTGTATATTGAGCACTTTTACCCCATAAAATAGCATACCATATCACTATAATTTGTCATAATTTTTGAGTTATACACACATACACACATACGTATATATATATATATATATATATATATATATATATATATATATGTGTGTGTGTGTGTGTGTCTGTTTGTGTGTGTGTGCTTGTGTGTTTGTGTGCGTGTATTAAAAAATTCAAAGAGTGTAAATCTGTAAAAGGACAGTATGAATAAAGACAAAAGGAAAACTTAGCCGACGCGTTTCGTTATTTGAGTGAATCTATCAAGGCAAATGACTTCAGAGAGAGATGAAGAAAATGAACTAATAGGTAGAGAGATAGATGAAGAAAATGAATTAGAGAGAGAGAGATGAAGACAATGAACTAGATAGAGAGAGATGCAAAAATTAACTAGGTAAAGAGAGAAAAACATGAAAATATGAACAAGATGGGTAGAGAGAGAGAAACATGAAGAAAAATGAACTAGATAGATAGATAGATAGATAGATAGATAGATAGATAGATAGATAGATATGGTGTGTAAAATGGACAAAGGGGTAGATATGAGTAAGACCTGATTTATTCCCATATATGTATATTCTAAAGAGAGTTTATTTATATATCGTCATAACTGTCAATGTACTTCTTTGCGTTTATCTGCAAATAATCCTAATGCAACCAATATGTGTGCATTGTGATTCTGTTCTCCTTTGAATCAAAATAAATTCTATTGGTTTACCACAACGATTGCTTAGGTCAAAGCACTTTTCACTTGTCTGACGTTGTCGCTTCTTCATTGCTATCATTTTACTGTCGTAGTTTTAGTGGCGTATTCTTTGTACAGACAAGCTTTTAATGCCTTTGCCTCGAGCTCTGTCTTGACTTTTCAATAGTTTGAAAACAGTTTCAAGAGTTGAGGCCAAATGGTTAGAGCATTTTAAAAGTGTGTCTTTTACTCTGGTGAAGGTAATTTCTTTTTCTCCCGTGTGTTGGTCTCTTTTCAAGCTGCCATTTACTATTTCACAATCTGCCTGTTCATAACTAAGTCAAAACCGAACAAAACTGGTAGCCATTAAAGAAGGCTTCTACCTTCAATTGAAAACAGTCCATTTGTCAATCGGAACACTGGTAGACCTTTATTTATTCTTGTTCTGTTTGAAAATCTGAGCAAAGTCACGTTTAAGATTCCCTACTTCATTTCCGGTCTTCTTCGGGACAAAAAAAAAAGGTTCTTGTTAATATCTTTGCATATGGGGAGTGAGTGTGCATAATAAATTTTTTCCCGCGAAAACATAAAAAAATGGTTATGGCAGTTTTTGTTATGACCTTTTTTTTTTTCCAGCAAACACCATAAGACATTCTGTTCTCACCGGTGCCGCTAGTTCTATCCCCATTTCTGTTATACGTTTTTTTTCTCCTTCGGTTTTTTTTTTTTTCTTTTTTTTCTCTTTTTCTCATTTTGTCTCTTACATTTTCTGTTTATTTTGTAGAGTTTTTTTGGATCATTCGCTTATTTTTATTTCTCTTCCCTTTCTATTTCTCTTTTCTTTTTTTTTTTCTTTTTTGGCTCTTTTTTCTAAATTCTCTCTCTTCCCCTCTCTCTCTTTCTCTCTCTCTCTCTTCCCCCTCTCTCTGTCTTTCTCTCTCTCTCTCTCTCTCTCTCTCTCTCTCTCTCTCTCTCACTTCATTCTTTTTTTAATGATCATTAAGTTTTCATCTTTCATTCTCCCTTTTTTTTAACGTCTTCGATTTTTCCCTCTTTGTTAACCTGCTGCTGTCGACACAGAACGATTAAAATACGTCAAATTCCCGCGCTGTCTTACTGCAATTTTGGTCATTATATCCAACCGATATATGAACATTGAAGTTTAAAAATATTCATATCATTTTATTTATTCAGTTAAAAATATAATATAGTGGTTTGTTTTTAGGCTGATACAAAACGAATGTTTTATTAATCTGATACAAAACGTTTTGATACATTTTAGCAAAATGTATCATTCACATAAATTCCTAACACTTTCCCAGTTATCAAACTATTTACACTAGCTTTCTATGCCCTTATGTCAAGTTTCAGCTCAACTGTCTATTCTGTCCTAAAAGAACTATTCCGGTTTTTAGTTAATGAATTCTTTAATGGATTTTCCAATATCTTGAAATTGTTGGAACTAGTAACAAAACAAACATTGTAAAGTAAGTGATAATCTGGAGTAACAGGTATGGAGGATAAGTCAAATGCGGAAAAAAATGGCTCATTCCAGCAAAAGCTTTTCTCTGTTCCAGTGTATAATTCAAACGAGCCAAACGTTCATTATAGCTTTAGGCAGTTGTATTTTGTCCAAATTCTAGCAATTCTTAATTTAAAAAAAATCTCAATTTGAATTCCACAATACATATTCATTAATCGATTTTATTCTGCAACAAGATGCAATTTTCTTCGATTTTGATATTCATAAAAATTCAATTTTTTTATTGCGACTATCATTTCCGAAAAATAACCGTTTCTGCGCCGAAAAGTACGTGGCCGATGTTATTTTCCATAGTTGGATGCGAGACCCATTTCCCTATATAGGGGCTCGTAATAAGAAATCGAAGAGCCGAGTTCGAATTCCAGATTGTTTCGTTACAATCACTTACGCATAAATATCCTTGGAAAAAGGTAGGAATTAATCGCCTCCGTCAGCAATCTGGAAAAATCATTTTCATTCTAAGAAAAAAACAAGTTAATGCAACATTCACTCACAAATATATAATTATTCTTACAATCCAAGATATATTCGTCTTTAAATAACCCAACGGGTTGATAATCCGTAAAAAACAAATCAAACAAACAACCATTTCCCTAGCTTCTGAATTCTTCGAAGGTAATGGCTGCACAAATAATAAAAAACTTGGTGAATTTTAAAGATACTTCTATTTCTTCTGCAAAAGTTGGCATTTGCATCAACATGCTAAATCTTAACGTAAAATCTTTTTTGTTGAAGTTTATTTGCTATGGCGATGATAATGACCACTTTAAAAAAAAGTGTCAATTATGCCAAAGCCTAATAATAGAACCATTCAATTTAAATGTTTACCTTAGAAACAAGATGTTTTCTGGCTCTCCTCCTAGAGCACACACTTTCATTAATCAGGTTGCTATTATAGTAAATAATATATTAAAAATCGATGAACATTCTGACAGATTTCGTCAGTCTTCATATAACTGCAACAAAGATGGCGACAAAATATTGCCTTCTTTTCAAATGTCTTCAATGTAGGTGCTAACCCAATTTTGTACTATGTTCAATTTACTGCAATGAACAAGGTGATATAATCTTGTCCTAACATAAGATAACATCAATGAAGAAGGCGACACAGTCTATATTCAAATAGATGCAGTATCATATATTCAATCTTGTCCTATATATAAATAACTGCAATGAACAAGCGGACGCAACCTTGTCCAATATTCAATTGACTACAATGAACAGCGGAATGCCATGTCCTATGCTAAATTGAACAAACTGATAGAATAGTTTCCTATATTTGGTTAACCTAAATCTAAACATTCCTCAACCATTACTCTTATGTTCGTCTTTGTTGTAATGTTTTTCAAAATTGGCGGATAATTAAGAAGGCCGGAGTTAGAGAGAATATCGAAGGAACAGAAGACTAAGTAGGGAAAACAAAGAAGAGGATTATTAAACACTCATAAATAGAACGGAAAAACTTGAGTAAATCAACTACTCCTCAAATCCTATTCTAATGTGGCTACTTGCCATATTTATAAATCACAGTTGTAGGGAAGAGAAGGAAGTAAGAAGTCCTAGTCTACAACACTCTTACTAATTATCATTTTTATGGTAGCTCTAAAGTTTATTATGATAAATAAAACCTGAAAAATTACTTATATGTAATGAAATATTATTTAAAAAAAAAAAAAACAAATATCATATTCTGTTCACAATCGTTGAATTTCCAAGTAATATACTTGGGAATTCATACTATTTACACTTTGTCTTGTTCCCAGTCATCTTGACTGAAAGCCTTTTATTTATGCACAAACATATGGAGATAATACTATGGAAATCTCTTACATTATAATCTAATACACAGTCAAGCCAAATTGTCATCACATAACGTCTTATTCAGAAATTTACTTTTCAGTTATGACAAAATTAAGGAACATATTTAATTTTCTTTTTTTTTTTTCTTATTTTCTTTACAATTGCTTCCTTCTTCGACTAATATTACTAATAATACTACTAATACTATAAGTACGCTACTATTTTAGTAGTAATAGTTATCGTTAACTACTGGCTATGGCAATATTAATTTCATTTCCACTTTTTCATTCTTCTCTCCTCCATTATCCGCCATTTCTCTATTTCCTTTTCAGTTAACTCTCCTTCTGTCTGACATTTATTTCTCTCTTTCTTTTTTCTCATCCTTTTTTTTATTGCGTCTCCCTAAACATCTCGTCATGTTTATCGCTTTCGCTATCGCCTACCTCTACTTTTATACTGCTTCATATTCATCGTCCTTTTTCAAATGTTCCCTCCTCTTTCTAATCTTCTCTTCTCCTTGTCCCCCACTATTTGTTCCTCATATTTATATTTTTTCCCATTCTTCTTTCCTTGCTCTGATCTTATTCTCCTCACCCTCCTCCTTTTCCTACTAATGGCGGCATGTATCAACAAAATGAAGTAAGGCAGAAGTAATGTTGGCTTGATTGCACTTAAACCACACATGCCTCACCCATTCATACTTGCAGGAAAAGATGATCAACGAACATGCCACGCCACAATAACGGTCACATACATTTTATATACATATTATACCTACAACAGATCATATACAAAGCATATAACTATAAAAGCAAAGGTTTACTCTAAAAGTATATAATTATGTACAAAATATCAATAGTTGAAGGCAAACAATTGCGTTCACATTTAGTCGAAGCCATATAATTATGTTCAAAATATTTAGATTTCAAAGTCTGTCTATATTTCTGAGATGAGGTATTATGTACATTATTTACATCATTCGGACTATTGTCCTCATCTTTGTCGCCATATTTATCACAACGTTTCGGCCGTTGTACGCTCCGGCCTTCTTCTGGTGGATGGAATGTCGAACTGAACCCTTTATTTCGCTCACTGGGGTAGACTGTTCTAGTTCCACGTGCCATGTTTGATGGATGTCAGCTATCAGTTATCTCCTGTTAATTTTCCCTCTGAAAGTTCTCCACTGCCTTAACCGGGTATTGAACTCACACTCTTTAGGTCTTGTCACTGGATCTAACCAACGCCTTTATCCACTGCGCCATGTATCCTCAAATATGGCGAAAAGGATGGGGACAATAGTCCGAATAATGTAAATAATGTATTTAGATTTCGGCATTAAATAACCCATAGAGGTTGATAGGCTGCTAGACAAAATCAGTCCACCAACCAAATTCTTTTTCCTCCTTTTCACTTCCTTCTCTTTTGCTCTTTCTATTCCTTTTTTCTTCTTCCTTTTCTCTTCTTCCACTATTGCTCTTTCTCTTTCTTCTTTTTTTTTCATCCTCCTTCCTTTATCTTCCTTCATCATTTTCATATCTTT